TGTGGTGGTGGTGTTGGGGTAGTGGTGGTGTTGGTGTAGTGGTGGTGTAGTGGTGGTGTTGGTGTAGTGGTGGTGGTGGTGTAGTGGTGGTGTTAGTGTAGTGGTGGTGTGGTTGTAGTGGTGGTGTTGGTGTAGTGGTGTTGTAGTGGTGGTGTTGGTGTAGTGGTGGTGGTGGTGTAGGGGTGGTGTAGTGGTGGTGTTGGTGTAGTGGTGGTGTAGTGGTGGTGTTGGTGTAGTGGTGGGGTTAGTGTAGTGGTGGTGTTGGTGTAGTGGTGGTGTTGGTGTAGTGGTGGTGTTAGTGTAGTGGTGGTGTTAGTGTAGTGGTGGTGTTGGTGTAGTGGTGGTGTTGGTGTAGTGGTGGTGTAGTGGTGGTGTAGTGGTGGTGTTGGTGTAGTGTTGGTGTAGTGGTGGTGTTGGTGTAGTGGTGGTGTTAGTGTAGTGGTGGTGTTGGTGTAGTGGTGGTGTAGTGGTGGTGTTAGTGTAGGGGTGGTGTTGGTGTAGTGGTGGTGTAGTGGTGGTGTTGGTGTAGTGTTGGTGTTGGTGTAGTGGTGGTGTTGGTGTAGTGGTGGTGTAGTGGTGGTGTTAGTGTAGGGGTGGTGTTGGTGTAGTGTTGGTGTAGTGGTGGTGTTGGTGTAGTGGTGGTGTTGGTGTAGTGGTGGTGTTGGTGTAGTGGTGGTTGTAGTGGTGGGGTTAGTGTAGTGGTGGTGTAGTGGTGGTGTTAGTGTAGTGGTGGTTGTAGTGGTGGTGTTGGTGTAGTGGTGGTGTAGTGGTGGTGTTGGTGTAGTGGTGGTTGTAGTGGTGGTGTTAGTGTAGTGGTGGTGTAGTGGTGGTTGTAGTGGTGGTGTTGGTGTAGTGTTGGTGTAGTGGTGGTGTTGGTGTAGTGGTGGTGTTGGTGTAGTGGTGGTGTTGGTGTAGTGGTGGTGTTGGTGTAGTGGTGGTTGTAGTGGTGGGGTTAGTGTAGTGGTGGTGTAGTGGTGGTGTTAGTGTAGTGGTGGTTGTAGTGGTGGTGTTGGTGTAGTGGTGGTGTAGTGGTGGTGTAGTGGTGGAGTTGGTGTAGTGGTGGTTGTAGTGGTGGTGTTAGTGTAGTGGTGGTGTAGTGGTGGTGTAGTGGTTGTGTAGTGGTGGTTGTAGTGGTGGTGTTGGTGTAGTGGTGGTGTAGTGGTGGTGTTGGTGTAGTGGTGGTGTTAGTGTAGTGGTGGTTGTAGTGGTGGGGTTAGTGTAGTGGTGGTGTAGTGGTGGTGTTAGTGTAGTGGTGGTGTAGTGGTGGTGTTGGTGTAGTGGTGGTGGTGGTGTAGGGGTGGTGTAGTGGTGGTGTTGGTGTAGTGGTGGTGTGGTGGTGGTGTTGGTGTAGTGGTGGTGTTGGTGTAGTGGTGGTATAGTGGTGGTGTTGGTGTAGGGGTGGTGTTAGTGTAGTGGTGCTGTTGGTGTAGTGGTGGTTGTAGTGGTGGTGTTAGTGTAGTGGTGGTGTTGGTGTAGTGGTGGTGTTAGTGTGGGGGTGGTGTTGGTGTAGTGGTGGTGTTGGTGTAGTGTTGGTGTAGTGGTGGTGTTGGTGTAGTGGTGGTGTTGGTGTAGTGGTGGTGTTGGTGTAGTGGTGGTTGTAGTGGTGGGGTTAGTGTAGTGGTGGTGTAGTGGTGGTGTTAGTGTAGTAGTGGTTGTAGTGGTGGTGTTGGTGTAGTGGTGGTGCAGTGGTGGTGTAGTGGTGGAGTTGGTGTAGTGGTGGTTGTAGTGGTGGTATTAGTGTAGTGGTGGTGTAGTGGTGGTGTAGTGGTGGTTGTAGTGGTGGTGTTGGTGTAGTGGTGGTGTAGTGGTGGTGTTGGTGTAGTGGTGGTGTTAGTGTAGTGGTGGTTGTAGTGGTGGGGTTAGTGTAGTGGTGGTGTAGTGGTGGTGTTGGTGTAGTGGTGGTGTAGTGGTGGTGTTGGTGTAGTGGTGGTGGTGGTGTAGGGGTGGTGTAGTGGTGGTGTTGGTGTAGTGGTGGTGTGGTGGTGGTGTTGGTGTAGTGGTGGTGTTGGTGTAGTGGTGGTATAGTGGTGGTGTTGGTGTAGGGGTGGTGTTAGTGTAGTGGTGCTGTTGGTGTAGTGGTGGTTGTAGTGGTGGTGTTGGTGTAGTGGTGGTGTTAGTGTGGGGGTGGTGTTGGTGTAGTGGTGGTTGTAGTGGTGGTGTTGGTGTAGGGGTGGTGTTGGTTTAGTGGTGGTGTTAGTGTAGTGGTGGTGTTGGTGTAGTGGTGGTTGTAGTGGTGGTGTTGGTGTAGGGGTGGTGTTGGTTTAGTGGTGGTGTTAGTGTGGGGGTGGTGTTGGTGTAGTGTTAGTGTAGGTGTTAGTGTAGGTGTTAGTGTTAGTGTAGTGTTAGTGTAGGTGTTAGTGTAGGAGTAGTGTAGTGTTAGTGTAGGAGTAGTGTAGTGTTAGTGTAGTGTTAGTGTAGGGTGGTGTTAGTGTTAGTGTCGTGTTAGTGTAGTGTTAGTGTAGGAGTAGTGTAGTGTTAGTGTGTGAGTAGTGTAGTGTTAGTGTAGTGTTAGTGTAGGGTGGTGTTAGTGTTAGTGTCGTGTTAGTGTAGTGTCAGTGTGGGGGTGGTGTTAGTATTGCTTCACAATGGCTGTTTGCCTTTGGACCCACCCACAATAAACGCATTCTAATAAAACGCTACAATACCCCCACTTGTGTTGCATGCGTGTGTGTGTGTGGACGTACATGACTGGTGTGCGTGTCAATATTGATGGACACAATAAAACAACCCCCTATCTTCTCGTTGGTGCCGGACGGCAACACTGTAGTGATCAGTGTCGTGGGGGGAAGGGCCAATTCCGATTGGCCATTCCCCTCATGGCATTTGTGACCACCACAGCGGCCAAATGGGGGCTCTGGACGGGTGCGATGGGCTGGTAACCCCTCCACCTTCAATGAATTACCACCAAACCACGATTTAAAACTTTCCCCAGGCTACTTTGGGCTCGCCTTCCCATCAACCAGAGGCGAGGAGTGGTGGTCGTGGTTACTTATGCCCCCACCGAAGACGAGCATCCGTGGAAGGATGCAGCCAAGGCCGATGAGTCAGATGCCTTCTATGACGTCTAGTCACAGGTGCTGGCTAAAGTGGCCCCTCGGGATAGAATCATCTTGTTGGGTGACTTCAATGCCAGAGTTGGTCATGATGCTGGCACCTGGTCTGGAGTGATTGGAGGGCATGGGCCAGATCAGCTCAATAAAAACGGTTGGAGGCTGCTAGATTTTTGTGCAGCCCATGGGCTTGTAATTAGCAACACGTTGTTCCGGCATCGGCGCATCCACACAACATCATGGACGCATGCCGGGTCCAAGCAAGAACATCTACTGGACTACATAGTGACAGAACAGCAGATGCGGGCCCATGTCCTTGACAACAGGACTTACCGTGGAGCTGATCTGCTCACTGACCATCGACTTGTCATCTGTAAGATGTGCCTGGGAGTCGGAGCCATTCCCTGTACACCTTGGGGTGTGACGGGGATGTCATCTGGCTCCCACATTATTTAACATATATTTCAACCACGTAGTTCGTGAAGCCTTCAATAGCTGTACCGGAGGAATTTCCATCTGGTACAGATACAATGGGAGGCTGATCGGTGCCCGGGTGCGGTCAAGGGATGGCTCCCTATTGCTCAACCATGTTATGTATGCCGATGATCTGGTAATTGCTGCTCCCTCCGAGGAGGAGTTGGAGGCGCTGCTGTTGAGCCTGGAGCTTGCCACTAAGAGGTGGGGACTTACCATCAGCCCCACCAAAACTAAGCACCTGCCTGGGTATTTTGTACCATCGGACACTTCACCCCCACAACTCCCAATTGGTGATAAGGCACTTGTGGAGAGAGTGGGCAGTTGGAGGCAGTCGCCCTCCAACGACAAAGGAGTGGGGAGGAGCGACGCTCACAACAACAAGCGGAGCGCCGGGTGGCTAAAGCACAAGTTGGCACAGTAAGGGGCACAGATGCTGCATCAGCCAGTCATCTCGGTCATCTCAGTCAGTCGACCCGTGGCACCTGGGTCTGTCCCGTGACCTCCTGCCGACGAGCGTTCGACACTTCACGTGGCCTCAAGGTGCACATGGCCTGGCACAAGAGTCGTGGTGACGTCACCGCCACTTAGTGGCGAATGGCGGTTGTTGTATACACATGAGTGGCTATGTATACCTGCATGTATATATCTGTACACGTATGTGTGCACACATACACACAGACACACATACACACATACACACATACAGACATACACACATACACACATACACACATACATACATACACACATACACACATACAGACATACACACATACACACATACAGACATACACACATACACACATACAGACATACACACATACACACATACAGACATACACACATACACACATACAGACATACACACATACACACATACAGACATACACACATACAGACATACACACATACACACATACACACATACACACATACAGACATACACACATACACACATACACACATACAGACATACACACATACACACATACAGACATACACACATACACACATACAGACATACACACATACACACATACACACATACAGACATACACACATACACACATACAGACATACACACATACACACATACAGACATACACACATACACACATACAGACATACACACATACAGACATACACACATACACACGAACCCCGCGACCCGAGTTCGATTCCAGCTCACGGTCACCACCGGTGACGATTATCTGAACCGGTCCTGGGCCCCCCCTCTAGGCTGACTCAGCCTCAAAGGAGCACCTGGTGCGGTGTGTAGTAAACATCGCCACTGGGGAGACAAAGGCGGCCGGGCGTGGTGCTGGCCACCCACCCCCTCGTGTGCCGTTCCGGACTTCATAGGTGCTACTCCGCGAATAGCACTTGCCCCGACAAGTCTGTTTAGGCTACACGGGGGAACTTTGTCTTGGTGTGATAGTGGAGGTCCATCAATCATTGGCGTCTGGGTGGGGTCAGCTTGCAGATAGGTAAAAGGTGTTCGCTGTGCGGGATCGTTGTCGTTCTCAGCACGAGATAATATTATTGCTCTACACAGCCACACACACAGACACACGCACAGACACACACAGACAGCCACACACACAGATACACACACAGACACACACACAGACACACGCACAGGCACACACAGACAGCCACACACACAGATACACACACAGACACACACAGACAGCCACACACACAGATACACACACAGACACACACACAGACACACGCACAGACACACACAGACAGCAACACACACAGATACACACACAGACACACACACAGACACACGCACAGACACACACAGACAGCCACACACACAGATACACACACAGACACACACACAGACACACAAACAGACACAGACACACAGACAGGTAAAGGGCAGGGAAGTGATCATTGTTTGGAACCATTTTCTCACTCACAACACAACAGCAGCAAAGAACGCTTCTATAACTCTCTCTGTCACACACACACATTTTGTCTCACACATACACTCTCTCTGTCTCACACACACACACTGTCTCACACACACACACACTCTCTGTCACACACACACACTCTGTCTCACACACACACTCTGTCTCACACACACACACTCTCTCTCTCTCTGTCTCACACACACACTCTGTCTCACACACTCTCTCAAACAACAACAACAATCAGTTTTACTTTTCAGACTTGCAACAGAGATTTACACACACACATGGACTATTGACACACACACACACACGGAATATTGTCACACACACGAAGGGGGGGACTACCGGACTAGTGAGGAAGACACGGGCCGTTGATCGAGTGACCTCCACCCATCCAGCAGTAGATTTGACAAGAGGTCTCTGTATCACACAGTATATATATATACACATATATACACACACACAGTATATATATACACGCATATATACACACACAGACACACACACACGTCAAACAAGTGATTTGTTTCAGCCGGGACGCTCTGGAAACGCCGTTCCATAAACCGTTGAGTCCAATCCAAAATCCACTCGCGTCTCGTTCGCATCTCGACGAAGAATCCGACGCTTTGACAACAACCCGCGGTGAGTCCAACGTGTCTCGGTTTGCCTTCTCGTGCACGCACACGCACACTCACCTGTGCGTGGGATCGCAGGTGAGTGTGCACGCGCACGCACACGCACACTCACCTGCGCGTGGGATCGCAGGTGAGTGTGCACGCACACTCACACTCACCTGCGCGTGGGATCGTAGGTGAGTGTGCACGCGCACGCACACTCACCTGCGCGTGGGATCGTAGGTGAGTGTGCGCGTGCACGCACACTCACCTGCGCGTGGGATCGCAGGTGAGTGTGCACGCACACTCACACTCACCTGCGCGTGGGATCGTAGGTGAGTGTGCACGCGCACGCACACTCACCTGCGCGTGGGATCGCAGGTGAGTGTGCGCGTGCACGCACACTCACCTGCGCGTGGGATCGCAGGTGAGTGTGCACGCACACGCACACTCACCTGCGCGTGGGATCGTAGGTGAGTGTGCACGCGCACTCACACTCACCTGCGCGTGGGATCGCAGGTGAGCGTGCACGCACACGCACACTCACCTGCGCGTGGGATCGTAGGTGAGTGTGCACGCACACGCACACTCACCTGCGCGTGGGATCGCAGGTGAGCGTGCACGCACACGCACACTCACCTGCGCGTGGGATCGTAGGTGAGCGTGCACGCACACGCACACTCACCTGCGCGTGGGATCGTAGGTGAGTGTGCGCGCACACGCACACTCACCTGCGCGTGGGATCGTAGGTGAGTGTGCGCGCACACGCACACTCACCTGCGCGTGGGATCGTAGGTGAGTGTGCGCGCACACGCACACTCACCTGCGCGTGGGATCGTAGGTGAGTGTGCGCGCACACGCACACTCACCTGTGCGTGGGATCGTAGGTGAGTGTGCACGCACACGCACACTCACCTGCGCGTGGGATCGCAGGTGAGTGTGCACGCACACGCACACTCACCTGCGCGTGGGATCGCAGGTGAGTGTGCACGCACACGCACACTCACCTGCGCGTGGGATCGTAGGTGAGTGTGCGCGCACACGCACACTCACCTGTGCGTGGGATCGTAGGTGAGTGTGCGCGCACACGCACACTCACCTGCGCGTGGGATCGCAGGTGAGTGTGCACGCACACTCACACTCACCTGCGCGTGGGATCGTAGGTGAGTGTGAGCGTGCACGCACACTCACCTGCGCGTGGGATCGTAGGTGAGTGTGCGCGTGCACGCACACTCACCTACGCGTGGGATCGCAGGTGAGTGTGCACGCGCACGCACACTCACCTGCGCGTGGGATCGCAGGTGAGTGTGCGCGTGCACACACACTCACCTGCGCGTGGGATCGTAGAAACATTCATTGATATATGTGGATAGGGTACTGGGATTGTGTAGGGCTTTTGTGGACAAGCGTAGCTCTTGTAACTCTAGTTGTAGTGCCTTACGCCGGTATTTCCATCCTCTTCGTGGGGAGCGCTATGCTGCCCTACCGAACGCGGCGACCCTCCAATGAGACCTCTGCTCCGCGCATCAGGGGGCAGCACTCCCCCCACTGACGCCAGAGAAAGTCGATGTGTCACATTCTCAGGAGCTGGAATTTTGGCAAAATTGAGTACAGAAAGAACCCTGGACCGGCTTGAGACCATCACACTCTACACTAAACTATACACTACACTCTACACTACACTATACACTACACTCTACACTACACTATACACTGCACTCTACAATACACTATACACTACACTATACACTACTATACACTACACTATACACTACACTGTACACTACACTACACACTACACTACACTATACACTACACTATACACTACACTACACACTACACTCTACACTACACTATACACTACACTATACACTACTATACAGTACACTATACACTACACTCTACACTACACTATACACTACACTCTACACTACACTATACACTACTATACACTACACTATACACTACACTATACACTACACTGTACACTACACTACACACTACACTACACTATACACTACACTATACACTACACTACACACTACACTCTACACTACACTATACACTACACACTACACTCTACACTACACTATACACTACATTACTACACTATACACTACACTCTACACTAGACTCTACACTACACTATACACTACACTCTACACTACACTATACACTACACTCTACACTACACTATACACTGCACTCTACACTATACACTACACTATACACTACACTATACACTACACTATACAGTACTAAACACTACACTATACACTACACTATACACTACACTACACTATACACTACACTATACACTACACTATACACTACACTCTACACTAGACTCTACACTACACTATACACTACACTCTACACTACACTATACACTACACTCTACACTACACTATACACTGCACTCTACACTATACACTACACTATACACTACACTATACACTACACTATACAGTACTAAACACTACACTATACACTACACTATACACTACACTACACTATACACTACACTATACACTACACTATACACTACACTCTATACTACACTATACACTACACTCTACACTACACTCTACACTACACTATACACTACACTATACACTACTATACACTACACTCTACACCACACTATACAATACTATACACTACACTCTACACCACACTATACACTATTATACACTACACTCTACACTAAACTCTACACTACACTATACACTACACTATACACTACACTATACACTACTATATACACTACACTCTACACTACACTATACACTACTATACACTACACTCTACACTACACTCTACACTACACTATACACTACACTATACACTACTATACACTACACTCTACACCACACTATACAATACTATGCACTACACTCTACACTACACTCTACACTACACTATACACTACTATACACTACACTCTACACTATACACTACACTATACACTACTATACACTACACTCTACACTATACTCTACACTACACTATACACTACATTAAACACTACACCACTCTACACTACACTCTACACTACACTATACACTACATTAAACACTACACCACTATACACTACACTCTACACTACAATATATACTACTATACACTACACTACACACTACATTAATACACCATACACTACTATACACTACACTATACACTACACTATACACTACACTACTATACACAACAGTAAACACGACACCACAATACATTACATTCTACACTGAACTATACACTACACTACGAGACACGACACCAATATACACTACACTACTATTCACTAAGATACACGACTATACACAACACTATACCACTATAAAGTAACTCTACAATACTATACACCACACTACTATAAACTACACTAATATACACTACACTATTACATACTACACTACACTATACACTACACTACTACATACTACACTACTACATACTACACTACACTATGCACTACACTACTATTGACTACACTACACTATACACTACAATACTACATACTACACTATGCACCACTACTATTCACTACACTGCTACATACTACACGACACTATACACTACACTTCTACATACTACACTACTACATACTATACTACTATACACTACACTACCATTGACTACACTACACTATACACTACACTACTACATACTACGCTATGCGCCACTACTATTCACTACACTACTATTGACTACACTACACTATACACTACACTACTACATACTACACTACTACATACTACACTACTATTCACTACACTACTATTGACTACACTACACTATACACTACACTACTACATACTACACTACTATACACTACACTACCATTCACTACACTACACTATACACTACACTACTACATACTACACTATGCACCACTACTATTCACTACACTGCTACATACTACACCACTACTATTCACTACACTACTATTCACTACACTACACTATTCACTACACTACTAGACACTACACTGCTACAGCCTCACGTCGCTTCTCTGCTGTCGCCCCCTCTGTGTGGAACTCTCTCTGTCCCTTCGCACATCCGCAACGTCAAATGCGCCTCCGACTACTTTGCAAGCGACATCTGAAGGCCTCTCTCGATCTGCGTTTGGGCTCAGGCAGCCCTGAGCTTGGCTTGTCCTCTCTGATCCATACGGGAGCGGGGGCAGCACTTGGCTCACCCACTTGGCATACGAGAGCAATGCTCATCACATCACAAACCAACAAATAACATTTTTTTTTACCTTCGGAGCTGTAATGGCGCCACAACTCAAAACGCCGAAACAAAAATGACCATCAACTCGCTGCACTTGAGAACCCGGCTTCATCACTGCTGCTCAGTCTGTGCGACTCCAGGGGTTCTGTATGCGAGTCTATGGGTCTCTATGCGAGTCTATGGGTCTCTATGTGAGTCTATGGGTCTCTATGTAAGTCCATGGGTTTCTATATGAGTCTATGGGTCTCTATATGAGTCTATGGGTCTCTATATGAGTCTATGGATCTCTACGTGAGTCTATGGGTCTCTATGTGAGTATATGGGTCTCTACGTGAGTCTATGGGGGGTCTCTATGTGAGTCTACGGGCCTCTATGCGAGTCGACGGATCTCTATGTGAGTCCAAGGGTCTCTATATGAGTCTATAGGCCTCTATGTGATTCTATGGGTCTCTATGTGAAGACTACGGTCTCTATATGAAACTACGGGTCTCTATGTGAGTCTATGGGTCTCTTTGCGAGTCTATGGTTTCTCTATGCGATTCTGCCGGTCTCTAATGTGATTATATGGGTCTCTATGTCAGTCTACGGGTCTATATGTAAGTCCATGAGTCTCTATGTGAGTCTATGGGTCTCCATGCGAGTCTATGGGTCTCTATGTGAGTTTATGGATCTCTATGTGAGTCTATGGGTCTTCTATGCGAGTCTATGGGTCTTTATGCGAGTCTATGGGTCTCTATGCGAGTCTATGGGTCTTTATGTGAGTCTAGGGTCTCTATGCGAGTCTATGGGTCTTTATGTGTCTATGTGAATCTAGGATTCTCTATGTGAGTCAATTGGCCTCTCTGCGACTGGATGGGTCTCAATGTGGGTCTCTGGGTCTATATGTGAGCGAGTCATTGGGTGTCTGTGCGAGTCTTTGGGTCTCTATATGAGCGAGTCTATGGGGGTCTATGTGAGTCTATGCGTCTCTATGTGGGTCTCTGGGTCTTTATGTCAACCGCTGCGGTCGGGGCAGCCGAGCCCCGCAATTGGAACCTAGGAACTCGGCCTCCCACAGCGGAACCGACCGACCGACGCCTGCGCCCTACGCACTTTTCCTTCCCAGCGCCATCGCCCTCCCCTAACGCGTGCGGCCATGGCGGACGCGGACGGGTGGGAGCAGTACACGGTGACCCTGACCAGGGCGCCCGGCGCCGGCTTCGGCATCGCGGTGTCGGGCGGGTGCGACAACCCGTACTTCCCGAGCGGCGAGGCTTCCATCGTGGTGTCCGACGTCCTGCGGGGGGGCCCCGCCGACGGCCTCCTGCGGCGCCTCGACCGCGTCGTGGCGGTGAACGGCGCGAGCGTGGAGAACGCCGAGCACGCCCACGCGCTCCAGCTGCTCCGCCGGAGCCCCGCGACGGCGCGCATCGTCGTGCTGCGGCGGGCCGAGCGGGCCGAGCGGGCCGGCGGGTCGCGCCTCGCGGCCACCGCCTGGCGACGGCCGTACGGCGACGACGACGACGACGATGAGGACGACTGCGACGACGTGAGCCGGATCGTGGCCGTCCACCCCGACTTCGGCGACGAGGCCGAGGAGCGGCGCGGCCGGCGGCTCGGCGTGGGCCGTGACGAGATCGCTCGCAGCTGGGAGCGCGGCCTGGACGGCGGCGGCGGCGACCGGAGTGGCGCGGAGCGGAGAGGAGAGCGGGGCGCGGAGCGCGGTCCGGTCTGTGGTGGCGGCCGGCTCGGACGCAGCTGGGACTGCGGCCTGGACCGGGGTAGGGAGGCGAGCCTGGACCGTGACCTCAGCCACAGCTGGGAGGGCGGTTTGGACCAAATCTCTGGGTCGAGGGGCGGGGATCGGAGCCGGGAGCGCGGCGGCGTTGGGGGCGGCTGGGACCGGGGCCCCGACGGAGGCGCAGAGCGGGGTCCGGACCGCGGGCGCACCTACAACCGGGGCCTCAGCCGATCGGTGGGGGACCTGATTTCTACGTCTCCCGTGCGCCGGACTCGCCTCGTCACGGTCACGCTGGCGAAGGGCAATCGCTCTGGAGGCTACGGCCTGAGCCTGGGCAGCAAGATCTACGTGAAGGGCGTTGGCAGCGAAGGGGCGGCCGCCCGGGACGGCAGCGTTCGGGAAGGCGACGTGGTGCTGAAGATCAACGGCGCCGCCACCGACAACATGTCGCTGGGCGACGCTCGCAAGCTCATCGAAGGGTCCGGGGGGAGGCTCAAGATGTCCGTGCACCGCGGCGCGGGGAAGACGCTGACCAACATGCCGCTGCTGGACGACAGCCCCTCCTCGTCAGACGGATACGACTAGATGCGGGCAGCGGAGGGTGGGGATGTCCGGCCGGGTCGGCAGCCGGTTAGCCCTGCCGGTTTGATCGCCGGTTCAAAGGCGACTCTTCCGGCGTGGTCGGGTTCAGCGTTCGGTTATCCCACCGATCGTCGGTTTTAAAGCCTCCTCCGCCCCAGTCAAATAGAGACGCTACCCTTGAGTGCGGCACCTCTCAACGTCGCATCACTCCACAGCTCGCGTGCTCACCCCCAACCCAAGACAGCTGGAACGTCGCTGGCCCGGCGCGTAAACGACCGTTTGCCCGACCCGCGAGCAACGCGCGAGCACCGAGGGCAAATCGGTGAAGGGCCAGGGGTGGGGGATGACGGCCGTCCTGCCCGGGGGGTGGGGGGTGGGGTTTGGATGGCCACCAATCGGCACGGAGAAGCAGAGTTCGTCGGTCCCAGTTTTGCGAGCAGGAGCAGGGTTCTCGTTGCCACAATAAATGTAACGAGGATAAAGTTGGAACAAATTTTTAGGTACGATGATCGTGATTGAGATAATAGTGGGGTCATTATTATTATTATTAAAAGTGGTGTAGTTAATTTGAAAGGGGAACAGGCGAGAGTGGTTTAGGAGGGGTAGTGATCGGGGCTGGTAGTAGAGTTGTGACAGGGTGGGGGGCTTGTGGTGGTGATCGGGGTTTGGGTAGTGGTAGGGCTTGTAGTAGTGATAGGGGTTTGGGTAGGGGTTGTGGTCGTGATAGGGGTTGGGGTAGTGATCGGGGGTTGGGGTTGTGGTAGTGATCGGGGTTGTGGTCGTGATAGGGGTTGGGGTAGTGATCGGGGGTTGGGGTTGTGGTAGTGATCGGGGTTGGTGTTGTGGTCATAGGGGTTGTGGTAGTGATCGGGGTTGGTGTTGTGGTCATAGGGGTTGGGGTAGTGATCGGGGGTTGGTGTTGTGGTCATGATCGGGGTTGGGGTTGTGGTCATGATAAGGGTTGTGGTAGTGATCGGGATTGGGGTTGTGGTAGTGATAGGGGTTGGGGTAGCCATGGTCGGAGATGGGGGACTGGGGCAGGGAGTAGTAGCAGCAGGATGCTGCTGACGGTGATGATGATGGTGGCGATGCTGGGCTAGGGGAGAAGATATTGGGTTGGGTGTTTTAAGGGAGGAGTGGAGGGTGAAGCTCGTTGTTATGGTGAAGATGCTCGCTCCATGTGCTGAAGTGAAAGGGTAGCGAGAAGCCTTGCGCTGTTGAAAACAATGACGCGAATGTTGCCCAGTTGTGTCTCCGCTTGTGTCTCTGGCTCCACTCTCTACTTATGTCTCTGCCCAACCTCCCCGGCTGCGGTTGGTCAAACTCGACCCTCGTCGAGAGATGCGGCCGCCACCTCGATGCTTAATAAAAACGAATCGTTGTCAGCGACTTCGTCTGACTTCTATCATCTGAAAGGGAAACAAATCGACCCTCTGCACTCACCCAGCTCGACGTCACCCGAGCGCGGCACTGGTTTGAAATGACTCGCGGTGATGAAAATCTCATTCAATACGCTAGGGGCGCTTTTTCCCTGTTCACGTTCTGCCCCTCCGGTTGGCTGCTTGGTCGCGGTGACGTCACGCACTGCAACCAATCGGCGTGCGCCACGGGGCTCGTGAACGTGAATTTGCGCTGCTTTCTGGGCGTTCCGGCACGCACAGTAATAGAACATGGCGGATTTTCATCAAGGATCTCAAAAGCGTTGTGTTGGTCACAGCAACAGCAGACGCTCAGCATGAAAATATAAATACATTTTAAAAATCTATTTACTAAATGAACAAATTGGGTAAGGGGCTGTCCATAAATAACGCCACGCACCTAGGGGGGGTGTCAGACATTTGTGACGAAGGGGGGGGGGGGTGAGAAATGTGACATCACATCCAAATGTGCAACTTTAAATATAAACACGTTCTACTTAATTAAATATACTTTTTTTTATGTTTTCTCCGACAACATCAGTGTAGCGCCACATTAAATACGCACTACAATGACAATAGTTTAAAGCGATTTGAAGCATGTTTTTTTGCAGGGGGGCAGAGCTTTGTGACGTCATATTTGAGGGGGGGTCTGACTTTTTGTGACGCCGTGTGACGAAGGGGGGGGGGGGTCCAAAATCGTCAAAAATCACGTGACGTCATTTATGGACGGCCCCTAAGCGGAAGCGTATAAATAGGTTTTAAGGCACATTTTTAAAATGTCCAGCCTCAAGAGATCCCTGAGATATTGTTGAAGATCGTTTCCACAGCCTGTGGGCTACACGGGGAAGAAGCTCAGGTCACTGATAAACCGAAACCTCGACCTGGGAATGCAGAGCTCTGCATCCCCAGGATCTTAGGGGCCTTGAGGGGACAGATGGCTGCAGCATGTTCACGATGTAGGCTGGAGCAAAACCGTCCACGACTGTGCAAGTTGTAAGTATGCACGTGCTGTACAATCAAGGCGAGATGCCCTCCCCGTGCAACAATAATCCCGCGCAGCAGAAGGCTCCGTTATTTGCCACTCGCCGTCGCAACACTTTGTGGCCGGTCCCCGGTTCTGTTCCCGAGGTCCGTTTCATTGGTCCGACTGACGATCGCCATAAGTCGACGCTCCCCGTAGGCGAAAGCCCCACTTACGACAACACGGAGACAACAAATTCCGTGCCAAAGAAAATCTAAACTGTTTCAATGCAAACTCGCATTCGCCGACTCGCACGGGCGACACGCACCGCCAAACTATTTGGTTTGGGGAGAGAGATCCTCCAGTAGCTGAAATGAGTCCTCACATCACCGCTGGGAGTGTGTCCAGTGTGTGTTTGTGTTGTGTACGCAAGCGCACGCGCGTATTTGTGTTTTGTGTAAGTCAGGAGCGGTAGTGCAGCGGTTAGCGCTACGAAACCGGCGACCCGAGTTCGATTCCCCCATCACGCCAAACTCCAGTGACGTTGATCTGAAATGCCCTTGGGCCTCCCCGAGCGCGAATCGGCCTAAAATGAGAACCTGGTGCGCTGCGTAAACATCGCCGCTGGGGAGACAGAGGCTGTCCGGGTTTGGTGCAGGCCACCCACCCTCTTGTGTGTCGTTCCGGCCTACAGGTGTGCTGCTCGCTAGTATGTTAAGGCTATACAGAGGATCTTTGTGCGTGTGAAAGCGAGTGTGTGTGTGCGAAATTGTTCAAGTTTACTGATAAGTTCCGTGGGTTCCTGCCAGTTGAATAATAATATTAGCGGCAGCCTGGTTGGGTACCGTAACAGTTGTCCCAGATTAAGTACGAGGACCATTGACGAGATTTTATGTAGAAACAAAAAGTTTTTAATTCTTCTTAAGACTCATATATATATACACTTATGAACGAGTTAAGTTCCAGATGTGTGTTGGTAAGTCGATTTGTTCGTAAGTCCAACTTTACTCCTGTCGATTCCAAACACGTTGTACGGCGTGTATACAAGGGTTGCGTAATCTCCTGAAGATGTAGATGCCACTGGTTCTTCATGTTCTGCAGATGTAGATGCCACTGCTTCTTCGTGTTCTGCAGATGTAGATGTCACTGCTCCTTCACATGAATCACGAAAGTTACCACCCTATATTTTTTTTATCTCGGCTAAGTTTCAAGACCCTGAGAAGCACCCAACATTCGAGAGCTGAGGCCTTAAGACCTTGATTCCCAGACCCAGAGATTATGTCGGTGATGATGGGGATAATGATGGTGAGGATGACAATGGTGATGATGTGGGTGATAATGGAGATAATGACAATTCTGAGGATGATGACGATGGTGATCATGTCGGTAATGATGGAGATAATGACGATTGTGAGGATGATGTCGGTGATGATGTCGGTGATGATGGAGATAATGATGACGAGACTGTAAGAGCGATTCTTGAGGTTGGGTGTCGATCATTAAAAAATGTCGGCAGAAGAAGGCAGTGATGGCGGTGGGCGGCGACACCATGATGACCTCTTGACCTTGACACTGTCTCTTGGGAGGTCACAGGTCCTGTATAAAGAAGAGGTTTTAAATGTTATACATGAGAGACAGTAAGTGGCAGGATCACCAGAATTTATATCTTCATTACCGTCGTCATCATAATTCACAGCATCAGCAGCAATATTACCAACAACACCATCACCGTCACCACCAACATCAACCACCGCCATCATCACCACGACCATCCACACTGTCATCACCACAATCACGATCAACACCATTAGCATCAACAACACAAACACCACCTCCATCACCACCAACACCTGCACCACCTCCACCAAAGATCCCCTGTATAGACTAAACAGACTGTTGATGGCAAGTGCTGTTAGCGAGCAGCACCTATGAAGGCCGGCATGGCACATGGGTTAATAGCGCGCTAACTGTTGAACTACAGCTCCACCACAACCTCCACCACCTCCACCACCTCCACCACCTCCACCACCACCAACACCACCTCCACCACCACCACCTCCACCACCACCTCCACAACAACCTCCACCACCACCTCCACCAACAAAACCACCACCTCCACCACCACCTCCACCACCACCTCCACCGCCACCACCACCACCTCCACCACCCTACGTGGTGCCACACCTTGGCGAGTGGTGTGCCCTCCGTGCTCGCCGCGTGGCTGGGAGGGGGGGCGCCCGTGCCGCCGTGACGCCGATGATGAGGGTGACGGAGCAGCAGGAGGGCGGTGACGAGTTGGGTGACGGTGTTGACGTGCGCCGTCTCGCGCACGCTCGTGTCTCTGTGCCGCAGCTGGATGGATCCCGACTCCAGCGTCGACTCGCTCACCACCACCACCAGTGGCACCCCCATCTCGTCGTAGCTGCAGCAGCAGGAGCCAAAGTAGTAGCAGCAGTAGCAGCAAAAAGGAGCAGCAGTAGCAGCAAAAAAGGAGCAGCAGTAGTATCGGCAGCAGTGGCAGGAGCAGCAGCAGTAATAACGTTGGCAGAAGAAGCAGCAGCAGTAGCAGCAGCAGTAGTAGAAGAAACAGCAGCAGTAGCAGTAGAAGCAGCAGCAGCAGTAGCAGCAGCAGCCATAGCAGCAGTAGAGGGAGGAGGAGGACTGCCGTCATTATCCACGACAG